CCCCTGCCTTGGTGTCTGTGTCGTTCTTCCTGGATTCTGCTGGACGGAGTCTTGGATTGCGGCCAGTGGTGGCCCTAATGGGGACCCTGATGCTCCGGAGTTGTAAGTAAAAGACAAACAATAGTGCTAGCAAAGTTCCCCCTAAGAGGGAATGAAGGGAAAGGGATATGATTCTGAGGATTTAGACAGCATTATGGAACAGCTGAGAATTACTGACAATAAAAAGAAAAGGAAAAAGGAAAAGGTTGAGCCTAGTGCTCCTCCATGGGACAGAGACTGTCCGGAAGCCATGCCCTCCTTAGAGGGGAGCCGTCGCACGCTTAATGCGGGCATATGGCGCCATCTCGTGTCTAGTTATGGAGCTTTTCCAGTGTTTGATGATCAGAACAATCAAAGATATCATGAACCCCTGGACTGGAAAGTAATTCAGAGGTTGAAAGAATCTGTGGCTACTTATGGGATACAAGCAGCTTATACTATAACTCAGGTTGAAAGCCTTACTAGACGTGCTATGACTCCTTTTGATTGGCAAAATCTTTGTAGGGCTGTTCTTTCAGGGGGCGATTATTTGAATTGGAAATCTGCTTACTTGGAATATTGTGTAGAACTAGCAGCTGCTAATGCAGCCAATGGCCAGCCTGCATGGAATGTGGATGTGCTTATGGGGCAAGGGGTTTTTATTAACAATCAGATTGGATATCCAGAGCGAGTATATATTTTCTAAGGTATTCAGTTCTAACGAGGAACCCTTTAATTAATGTTGCAGTACTACTGCTGTGTTAAATTCAATATCTCAGAACACCACTGAGGCGTTGGAGAAAAAATTATTCGTGCAGTTGAAGGCAGGCCTACTTTTGGTAAATCAAAGAGTAGATTTATTACAGGAACAAGTGGATATCTTAGGGCAGTTAATGTTTGTGGGATGTATTTATCATATGCCTGGATTATGAATAACCTCTGTGGAGTATCTTAATTTCTCTAAGGCAGGTAATCTATCTAGAGAACCCTCTACAGCTCTCCAAGGCAACTGGAGTAAAGATACAGGCATCAATTGTGGCGGTGAATGCTACAAGAGTAGAGATAGCCTCTATAGAAGACTGGATGAAGACCCTCCAGGGAGCCTTTTCCTTCCTCAAGGACCGGGGAGGGATGGCCATTTGGGGAGCCCTGCTGATTTGTGTGAGTGGATGTCTGATATGGTGCATGTGTAAAATGAGACAGAGGACAGTTGTCCAACAGCAGCTGCTCGCACAGGCAATGATGGCGTTGGATAATGGCGAATCTCCCAAGGTGTGATTAAGCATGCTGGATCGGTAGCCAAAGACGGGTAAGACCCCCTCACAAACATACCAACCTAAGACAGACTGCCAGCCGATGCTGCTGAACAGTTGATGACGGGTAAGGATGTTCTATGGATGGGGGCAACCTAAGGCAGGCACGATCCCGATGACCTTTAATAAGCGCGATCATGTGCTGATCATGTTCTGCCTGCCTGATTAGAGACGTCATCCCACATGACCCTGCTGCGTGGCCCAATGGGCTGCCACTCTGCCTGCCTGCTGCGTGTGTGTGAGCGCCCTGATTGGTCCTGGCTGGAGGGAGGGCTGTTGAGAATGCTATGTAAAGAGCTGAAGTGCGTAATAAAGAGGAAGAAGCTTGAACCCTGCCTTGGTGTCTGTGTCGTTCTTCCTGGATTCTGCTGGACGGAGTCTTGGATTGCAGCAAGCAACAAACATGGTTGTACAAGTGTCTCTATAATAGGATGAGTCCTTTGGGTATATGCCAAGGAGTGGTATAAGCGAGTCATATGGGAGGTTCATTTTTAGGTTTTTAAGAGTTCTCCACACTGTTTTCCATAGAGGCTGCACAAGTTTGCAATCCCACCAGCAGTGAATGAGCATTCCCCTTTCTCCACATCCTCCCCTGCATTTGGTATCATTTGTTCTCTTGATCCTAGCCACTCTGATTGGGGTAAGGTGATACCTTAGGGTGGTTTTAATTTGCATTTCCCTAATTACTAATGATGTTCAACACTTTTTAAGATGTTTCTTAGCCATCTTTATTTCTTCCTTTGAGAACTTTGTTCAGATCTTTAGCTCATCTTTTAATTGGGTCATTTGGTCTCTCAATTCTTTATTTTTTGAGTTCTTTACATATTCTGGATGTTAAACCTCTATCAGATGTGTCACTGGTGAAGATTATTTTCCTACTCTCTGGGTTTTCTCTTCAATTTTTTGTTTCTTTTGCTGTACAGAAGCCTTTTAGTTTAATGAGGTCCCGCTTGTTGATTGCTGACCTTGAGCAACTTCTGTCTGACTTAGAAAATCCTTTCCTAAACCTATATTAAGTTCATATATATTTTAAACATGATTATTCTCTTCATGTAGAAGACTGCACACTTCTGCTAAATCTTTATCTAGTTATCTCTCAATTTAATCTTTGCCAAAGGGTGAAAATCTGATGAAATTTATCTTTATCTATATAGATAATTTCCATCACCCCAAGCAATACCTTTGTAGTAAAATATGCCTTCACCCCCAGCTCCAAGCAGCTACCAATCCACTTGTTGACATTATACATTAGTTTTTTTGAAGGCAGGTATCAGTAGTTTGTTCTTACTACTTAAGTACTACTTCACTGCATCAGACATTGTTTGTTCACTCACCTATTGATATGCCTTTGGGTTACTTCTACCTTTTAGATATTGTAAACAATGCTGTAGGGAATATTGTATACAAGTTTATATTTGAAACTTGCTTTCAAATCTTTTAGAAATATCCCAGGAGAAAAACTTGTTGGAAATTTAGCCAACACTTTTCCCCAAGTAGTTGTATCATATGGAATTGTAAAAGTTTAAGCATGTCTGGAACATATTTTTGTGTAGGATGTCAAGTAGGACTCTACTGTCCCCTCAAGTAGAAACAGGATGCAAGTCCATGAAAGTTAAGACTGTCTCTTCTGCTCAGCAGTACAGTATTGTGCCTAGAAGAGTGTTTGGCAGAGAATAGTCACATAAATGTTTTTAGATGAATAAACAAATGAACTGTCACTAATTAGTGAATTATCAATCCTTTTTTATTGATTTGAAAATTTAGATTAAATATGAATTCTTTTATATACATGGGCCTATCTCTGGACTTTGCTCAGTTCCACTGATCTACTTACCTACTTTTGAGCTATTAGTCTATTTGTTAAATTATTGTGCCTTTAGAATATGTTTATATACCATATATTACTAGCCTTAACTCTTTATCATATTTTATCCATAGACAGAATGATGGGCTAGATATACCAAGTCATGATTTTCTTTTCTTCACAAAGTAATTGCCTATTATAGTCACATTAGAAAGCTTTTGATTCTTCCTTATTGGTGACTTAGCCTGTAAATGTTTTTTTTTTATTTTAATCTTTACTTTTTTCTCAGACAGGGTCTCAGTATGTAGCCCAGGCTGGCCTGAAACTCTCTATGAAGACCAAGCTGGCCTCAAACTTGTGGCAATCCTCCTGCCTTCTGCATTTCTAGTGCTGAGGCACCCAATTCAGTCAACAAATGGGAGAATTGGGGCTAGCTGGATAGTAGGTATAGCTGGGGATGTGTGTGTTGGAGAAAGTTAATTAATATGTATACTATACTAAGCCTTTTGATTCTCAGCCTTGTACAGGAATTCCTTCTCTATTCATTCACATGAAAAACTTCTTCCCTCATGCATTGTCTTTCTCTTTCAATTCTTACCATAATAAGTCAGTAATAACATGATGAAACCAGCTTATAATGGCGCATTGCTAAAATTTCAGGAAGTTATTGAGCTTCCATTCTATAAGACCATGGATCCTGGGGTTCCCTGAGAGATGCTGGTTAAATATTGATCAGGATGCCACTGAGCAGGCCTACTGTAAAGCTCTTCTAGTATTTCCTCCTATCTTGCGCTAGGTCATATTTACACTATTTAAGGGTCCATATAGTTCTTAGGAAATGTTAGAAGCAAGATTAAAGCTCTTGGGAAAGCAAATACCAAGCAAGGTAAATTGTACCCATCATTTTAATCACTTACACTAAAATTGCTTCTGTTGGTGAGCATTTCAGAGATCACTGCATATACTCCAGAAAAAAAAAATCTTACCTGAGCCATTATGGATCTTGGTTACTGAGTCCAGATGTGTAAGGCTAAAGGGATAAAGTAGTTTAGTAGCAAAGTTGCAATGAAGGGCAAACAAAAGTGGTCATGTATATAACAACACCCTAAGGTACATCAGACCTTTGCCAATTGGATTAAATAAATGTGATGATTTAAGTTCTCACTACCGGTCATTTTAAAGTGATTTGGGGAATATAACTTTATTCAAAAATTATATAAGATAATTCAGAGAGATAATTCTGAAATTACTGTCTCTTACTAAAGATATCGATACACTATACATTTACTGGAAAAAACCTAGTACTCAACAATGGGACCACTAAGAAGCTGTGCTTTATTTTATTTTCACAACCAGAAAAGAGTGTTTTCCCTTGAAGGACACCAAATTATATGAGGTGGGAAAGAAATGTTAAAGGGATCATTACAGGGCACTGGAGAGATGCCTCAGTGGTTAAGAGCACTGGCTACTCTTGTAGAGGACCCAGATTTGGTTCCCAGCACCCACATGGCAGCTAACAACTGTCTAATAACTCCCAGTTCCAGGGAATACAACACTCTCTTCTAACTTCCGCAAGCATTGCATAACATAGGTGCACTTATATACATACAGGCAATATATTCATATATATAAAATTTAAAAAAAAATAAAATATTTTTTAAGGCTGCTGTGAAGCTTCCTCATACACAGGTGGAAGGAAATCCAAGCTGCTAAAGGTAAAGAGTCTTCAGTAATACAGGCAAGAGGTACAAAAAGAGTCTTTACCTGTGAATCCTCCTATATGCATCCTGTTCTTCCTGACACAGGATCTTTGGCAACTCTACTGCTGATTCAAGGCACACTTTCCCAATGGTGACATGAGGTACAATGTGGATTGGAATTTCAATTCTCTCATACCTGCAAGACAATCAGTTTAGGTCCCATTTTAACCCTTAGTTATAAGTTCTTTACACTTTAAATGAGACTTTGGAATATGGAGTGCTTTAAAGATTAAGCATTACTGTAATTTGTTAAGTGGCTCAATTTGAAAGTGGATAGAGTTTCAACTGGACTTTTCTGGAGAACAAATCAGAAGTCTATTTGTATGCTCAATAATCTGAATCCACTTCTGCAATTCAACAGATGCTTCTGGGAACTCAAGGTTATTAAGGCCAGCTAAGCTACTCATATTAAAAAAAAATTTACTAATACTGCTTTTTAGTCAGAAAGTTGCCAGTAAAGTTGAATAAACTGATTCCAAAGCTCTATGAAGAGGAACTACAGATTCTTTGGTGACTTCATCAGATTAATTTTGTAGATGGTATTACTCATTTAAATTATGAGCAATTCTGTCTTTCACATGCAGAACAATAGACTTTGTAGTTGAAGAAATGATTTATTTGTTTGAATGTAAATATTTGCTTTCTTGGGGCTAGAGAGATGCCTCAGCAGTTAAGAGCACTAGCTGCTCTTCCAGAAGACTAGGGTTCAGTTCCCATCACACACATGGCAGCTAATAACTGTCTCTAATTCTAGTTCCAGGGGATACGTTGCCTTCTTCTGGTCTCTGTGAGCATTGCATAACATGGGTGCATTTACACACATGCAGGTATTACACTCACACACATAAAGTAAAAATAATAAATAAAAAAATTTTAATCTGAAAAATGAGAATTCTTAACTTTTTATTTTCTCCTATAGAAGAAAATAAATAAGACATTCATGTAGACTTCCTTTTTCACGCTAGAATGGAAGAAACAGATAGGCTTGTCCTGAAGCCAATCTACCTGCACACACTTCTTATTCCCAATATGCCTAAACTCTACGTAACAAGAGGTTCAATGGAGAATCCAGGCTGGAAGCCCTCTGCATTGTGAGGTCAACGGGTACAGGATAGTAAAGTAGAATAAGATCTAATCTTTGTTTTCTCTTCCTGCCCAGAAAAGTATCTCTAGGTCCCATGTTACAGCTTAAATGGAACATACATGACAGGGAATTACAACTACCCTTTGCTTCTCCATACTCAGATAATCAGGGAAGAGTTCATGAAATAATATACCATAATGGTCTTCTGAAGTAATACTCAATGACTATTACTACTGATGGAAACACAAAAATGTCAGTCTACTGCTCTTGTCCACTTAATAAGGCTGCCAACTAAATCTGCTGGGTGCATAGGCAGAAATAGTCCCAAAAGTCTATTGTGTTTGGACACACATCTTCATAAATTCCAAGAGGAAACTGCCAGAATAATCTGACATATCAGCTGACCTAAAATTTTAATCCTAGGACCAAGATAAATAGAGATCTAAAGCTTATGACAGAGCTCTGCTTCAGTTAATTAACTAGACGGCTATGACCAATCTGCCTATTGCGAATAACTAAAATTCACTGAAAAAACAAAATTGTCTGTTAGACGTTACCAGAGTTACTAAGACAATAAAAATTACAGGGCCAATAACTAAGAAGGGAGAAAATTCCATAGATGAGCCTGAAAAGGTACATTATGATTCCAGAGAAGGAAACTTATAGGATAAAAAGTTGAAGAGTTTTCCAAAGTACTGATGTGTCCATGGTGAGAAAATTATAGTTGAGAGTATGCAAAGGTAGAGAAGCTGTGTTAAACCATCCCCAGACATTGGCACTTCAACAGTAAACATACAGGAACAGAAACAGACTACACTATACAGGGACAAGCACACCCAAGAATTATCCTAATTCCTAACTGGATAAAAAGTGATCTGGTAGTTCTCCTACCAATTAAGATATAAAAGTCACCAAAACCCTTTTTCTCACAATAATAAGAAAAGAACAGATAATCAAATATGAAGAAAAATATCAGTGAAGTGTGGATAGTAGGTTAACTTCGCTGGGGGCAAGGAGAAACCAACAGAGTTTGTAATCATGTGACAGACTGAAACCTGTAAAAGCCTCAAACATGGAATTCTTCCCTATTGCCAAATTTAATCCACATGATGTGCTAAGAACATGGAGACTGAGAGTTGAGCTGGAAAACAGAGAGGTCTTCATTATTTTATGATTTTTACATCTAAAATTCATGTTGTACATGGAAAATATGCTAATCGTTGCACAGATATCACTCTACCCTAGAAAAAAGAAATCAGAAAATAACTAAAGTAGCAATATAGCTATGACTCAGGTAACTTCTGACTTGATAGAAATGACAAACCTTCTAACCTATACAAAATACTCCAATAAATAACCAAATAATACCTTTTTTTATTTTAGAAAGTATCTCACTATACAGCTCAAGCTAGCATGGAACTCAGTATTTCATGCTGGCCTCAAACTTGTAATCTTCCTGTCTTAGCTTTCCTGGTGCTTGGATTATAGGTCTACATTACCATGTCTGGCTCATATCTACTCTCAAATGCACATGGAACTCTCCAGAATAGGCCACATGTTAGGCCACAAAACATTTCTCAACAAATTCAAAAAGATCAAAATTATATGAAGTATCTTTTCTGATCATAATATATGGAAACAAGAAATGAATGGCAAGAGGCAAATTAGAAAACCCACAGATGTAAATTAAACAAGATGCTCTTAACCAAACAATTGCTTAAAGAAGTCATAAGGGAAATTAGAAGGAACCTTGAAACAAATGAAAATAAAAACAGTATAGTAAATCTGTTATGAGATAAAGCAAAAATAGAGTGATGCTGGAAGTTAATACTGCTTTTATAGCCATGAACATGTACATTAAAAAAGAAATAGAGGCAGTAAGATGACTCAGCAGGTAAAGATGCACAAACCTGATGACCTGAGTTAGATACCCAGGATCCACTGAGAGAACTGACTCCTAAAAGTTGTCCTCTGACCTCAACATGTGTGCCATGTTATGCATACACGCACACACACACACATACACAGACACACGTAATAAATATTTTATCATCTAGAAACCTTGTTAAACTCAAGAAACATAGATAAGGGTTCCAGAAAATTACCTACTTAACATCCTATCTCAAAACAAAATGAAAATGCAAGCACATTAAAATATAGTCACACATGGTGCTCCTTAATAATTAATAGATGTGAAAAACATTACCATTGAAATCGACCTGATGACTTTATATCCATGCTCAGATGCTAAGGAGCTCAGAAAGTAACTGTAACTAGTAATAATTAGATATAGAGATTAGAAACGCATATGCATCTTAGTGTCAGTTGTATTAAAAATGAAATGGAGATCTTTTTCAAGTTTAAAACCTCATTTAATTTTAAGTCTTATAGGGGTTATATGGAGTACAATATTGTATAATTGTATTAATTCAACTGTAAACCTAAAAATTTACAGCCAATTTTGAAAGAGATGCATCTTAGCTCTAGAAATTATTATTGAATGTGTTAATACTGTTATAATGAAATGCTTCTTCTAATTATATGGTTATTAAATAAATAATTAAAAAATTTAAAAAGACCAAAAAAAAAGAAAAAAAATTATTTTTATTTTATGTGTATGTCTGTATTGACTGTACGTAGGTAAGTATACCCTCGTCATGCAATGCCCACAGAGGACAGAAGAGGGAAAAATATTTTTAAAAGGATTGATGTTGATTTCCTTTAAATGTGTGGCAGAATTAACCATCTGTTCGTGGACTCTGGGAGATTTCAGATTTTTATCAGCTATTGAGTCATATATTTGGGGAGGTTTTTTGTGTGTTTTGTTTATAACTGTCATAGATTCCTTCTTCACAGTTTCAGATAGAAGATTCATTCTTACTGTAAAGCCTAGAAATTTCAGAATAGGATTTTTTCCTTTCCTCATTAAGGTGAGAACTTTCATTTTTTTTCATTTAAAGATAACACTTTATAGCTACTATTGAGTTAAACATAAGTATTGTACTACCATGACAGTCTATCTGATATCTGTGAGAACAACTAGTTAGGTTCAGATTGAAACTTCCGTAGCATTGTATGGGTGATGCTTCCAAAGTTAGTTTAGTTTTCAGTGCCTCTGTAGTGTTCTTTGGATGTTTCTTTCATGTGTGCAGCTTAGTGGTTACTAAGGAAAAGATGTGGCTTTTCTATTGTTCCATTTTGTTGTCAAGTATAGTAATTAGGATCAGATCTACGCTGAAGGTTGTGTTGGGAAATTTGTAAACAGTTTTGTAAAGTTGCTTCATCAACATCACTGTCATTACTAAAGGCAGCAGCAGCAAGAATTCTTTCAACTAATATCAATAATAACAACGTGCCCAAAAGCCTGAGACTGGAGCGATGGCTCAGAGGTTAAGTGCACTGGCTGCTCTTGCAGAAGACCTGGGTTCAGTTCCCAGAACCCACGTGGCAGCTAACAACTTTCCATATCCAGTTCTGGGGGAACACGACACCTTCTTCAGACCTCCATGGGCGTTGCACAACACGGGTGCACTTATACACATGCAGGCAATACACTCATACACACAAAACAAAGACAATAAATAAAATATCTTTAAAAAATGACTGGTGAAGTGGGATGGAGAATTGTTAAGACTGCTCTCCCTGAGCAAGATATGTGAGATTTAGCATTCAATAATATTCAAATAAAATGCCTGGTTCCCAAACTACTAACCCTAAAGTAAAATCTAAGCAATCACTTGGCTTCTTTTCACCTTAAAAATGGAAGAAATGCACATCTAAGAAAAATACAGAAAAAAATTAAGATTTCAGTAGATCAACAAATTAAGAATAGGATGTTGTGAAATGGGAATAACCACCAAACAATGAAAAAACTCTTGAGAATTAAAAATACAAAATTTCCAAAATAAAAAAAAAATCAATGAAAGGAATAGAAGATGCAAATCAAGAAAATATCTGGAATATTAAGACAAAAGAGGCAGAAAATAAGTAAAAAGCATGACTGAAGTCAACCTAGGACCTTTACTACCTGATGGGAGTTCTATAAAAAAGGAGAAATTGTTAAGGAATAGGGGGAAAAGGATTTGACATATCTGTCCTACTAAGTTATGAGGAAGAGAGCTTTAAGAGAAGAAGCTAGTGATAGACCCGATTCTATAAGGACTTCAGGCCCACAAGAAAACAATGTTAAAAAGAATGTTAATCATGAGTTCAGGACTTCTGCCTCAATTTCTACAACTATTATTAAGAATAAAACAGTCCATCCCTTTTACCCCCGTGGTTCTTTTCCATTTTCCTGGCTCTTGTGGTTACATCAGGATATAAACTCCTGTCTAAGGATTTGGTGCTAAGATTCATAAATGAAGGACAACATACATTGATAGTGTATGAAATTCATAAAAATTCAATTCAAAAACAAGAGAATAAAACATTTCAGACAAACAGGACTCAGAAAATTTGGCTCAAATGCACGCTATTCTTAGGAAGTTACTAGAAGATCTCTTCCAACAAAATCAAGAATCCAGACCATAGTTGGGCGTGGTGGCGCATACCTTTAATCCCAGCACTGAGGAGGCTGAGGCAGGCGTATCTCTGTGAGTTCAAGACCAGCCTGGTGTACATAGTGAGTTCCAGGCCAGCTGGGGCTACAAGGAAACTCTGTCCCAAAGAGACACCCCCCACACACAAAAAATCCAGACCACAATGGATCCAATTCAGGAGAATAAGTAATGAAAATCCCAGGATGTCATTCGAGCAGTAGGCCTAGGGAAAATGTCAGGTGTGAGTAGGATGGTTTCATGGAATAATCCTAGAAAAAGGAGGGGTTCCCACCATTTTTATATTAGCCCTAAAACTTTAGAATGAAGGGCAGTGATAAAAGAAAAATAAGGGGGGAAATCTATTCAAAACCCCATGTAAAAGCAAAAAGCAAACCAATCCTAAACAAAACAAAAACTATGTAAGAAAGCAGAGGCATAGTATACTACTTAATATACTAATTAGTACACATGTATAGTAACATAGTACACATTAGTTAGCTGAATAGGGAATGATTACCTAATAATAATGAATTTATTTTCTATTTATATAATTAACCAATAAACAAAACAGAAAATGCACTTGAGTTGTAATCCAGAACACAGATGTTTACAAATATGAAAATTTAGTGATAGTTAAGAGACAAAACAATATTGCCCACTGTCAATTGTTAATAAAGAGACAAACTCCAGCCGGCTGTGATAGCACCTGTCTATAAACCCAACATAGAGGAGGTACATGCAGGCGGATCATGAGTTCTAAGCTGTACTGGAGTATATAGCAAGACCGTGTCTCAAAGCACAAAAGAAATAAGAGGCAAAATTCAGTAATCAACAGAATGAAGAATAGTAACGCAGAGGTGGGGTGGTATCAGTGAGCTTCATCTTCATCTGAAACAGCAAGATAAAATAGCATAATGGATACTAGGTTTTAATGGGGAAACTAATCCATGCAAACATTTAAATAAAATAGTTATTCTGAAATGATCTTTATGGCACAAAAGGCAAGAGCTGCCATCTGCATAGTAAGTGCTTGTCCAATATTCATGAGGCCCTGGATTCCATCCTTAGCACCACTAAAACAATTTATGTCACAGTAAAGAAGTATCTACATACAAGAATCTATAAATTTCTTCACATTTGCCTTATGTTTCACAACACACCAGAGAAATGAAAAGTAGCAGCGCAACACAGCTTGGAAAACATGGAGCAAGAGTATAGTGATATAACTATAATGAAGAGACGATTTCTACGACTCCAGCATCCTAGACTTTTACAATACACAAGCTGCTAAACAGATTCTAATTCTTCTTAGACTTGTTAATGGGTATAAGTAGAAATAAGTATTGTTAGTATCTTAACAGTGAGAGAAATTAAATGAAACAGAACAACCAATTCCATGGACTAGCCATTAGCTCATCAACAGTGACATCTCTATCATACTTACTCTGAGCTCTTTTGGGCTTGTATAGATTGGAAGCAGGTGTAGAGTACCCGACCAGTCTATTTTTAAAAAACAGAAAGAAATGTTACACATAAAAGGACTTCTTTGGTTGTTGTTTTATTTATTTTTTTGAAACATAATACTTGGCTATCTTTATACAGTGTATACTGTAGCAACTCAATACATGTATACAATGTGTAACAATTAAATCAGTATAATAAGCATTTCAGCCTTCAACCATTAATCATTTCCACGTTGGTAATTTTATAGCAATTTAGTAGACTCTAATGTAAAACTCAAAGGCCTCTATGGAGGTATTAGGCCAAAAGAAATTTCAAAGATGACAGGATATGCCATAAATCAACGAGAAGGATCATATACATAAACACAGGCCATAACCAAACATCTGTTTAGGGGACAGAATTGTTAACAAATATGAAAACTAAGAAAGCTGTCAAACTCAACAACTATTTATGATGACAATAAGCAAATTTATGATGAAAAGCTAAAAACATTAAAAAAAAAAGTATAACATTCCAGACACTGGATTCTACTATTTCTGACAAAGAGTAAATTTTAAAGAATATTCACTATTATCAAAGTTACCATCTCCACTCATGCTATGGTCAAATCTTCATCTCTTGCTTAGCTTACCAGCAAGGTATTGCCTACCTGGTTTTCCTGATGCCATTAATTCCATCTTTCCCCCTCTATAACCCTGTCCAGTCTGTTACCAATACAGTAACCTCAGCAATTCTATTAAAACATAGCCACTAGTGGCTTCCTAATTCAGAAGCAAAGCCAACGCCTTAGAAGAACTAGTTCCCATTACCTTTCAGATCATATTTAGGATGACCAAATGAGACATTATCCAAACCAGAACACTTTCAAGAGAGAAAAAGGCTAATGAAATAGAACACTGGGATGTTAGTATAAAAATGAGACTCTCTGAGGCAAACTGGAATATATGGTCACAATCTTCCTCACTCTGTTTACAGCCACACCAAATTCCTCAATATTCTCTAAAATGCCACACTCACCTTAGGGTCCTTTACATTAGATATTTCCTCTGTTTGAGATGACTGTCCCCTAAAAAATACTTAAGACTTGCCCCCTTACCTTCCTCATGTCCTGACTCAATAGGACTTCCCTGCCAGTCTATTAAAACTGCAGAGAGATTATTCTCTAGTCTGTGTCTACCCAATGTATAAACACGTAGACATAAAATACCTTTGTGTTTTTGTCTTCTATGAAACAGGAAAAAATAAGTCCTACAAAGCCTTGATCCATCATCTGGTACATGGCTTGTGTACGAACATCTGAAATATAAATAAAAATATCCTGTCAATTATTTCACAGATTTGATTTAGAGGTATCAGTGGTAACTAGTTATCAATTATTCTCCCCCAATTCTGCAGACAGTAAGGGATTTATCTTAAGAAAAATATGATTGACAAAGAATAAGTACTTTGTTAGGTTAAGGAAGTATTATGAAAAGTTTGCTATCCAGTAGTTAACTCTAGGCTGCTTAGTCTAAGAATGGGTATACTAGGAAATGTAGGCTAGAAAAAGAAATTGAAAACTTCAGCTAGCCCCATAACTTGATAATTTCCTCCACAGAAACTCGAAGAGAGGTTTTGGAAGTGATGAAAATATTTCCTAGGAGAAAAGCCTTTTAATTAATAGTTTCTAAGAAAATGCTACTAAATGCAAAACTAGTACTAAGCAGATTCTCAGAGGGAAGCATTATATAGAAGTGATTGAAATATAACTAAATTCAACAGAGTATAAATTAACATACTGCTTTCATCCAGAAAGCCTTAAGGAAAAAAAAGCATAAGCTAAAACAAACATGTCTTAGCAATTTATATGATACAGATTTAACTTCAGCTCCGCTACTTAACTCTCCAAGGCCTGTTTACTTTTCCATACAATGGGAAGATCTTTAACCTGTAGGTTACTTACTATAAGAATTAGAAGAGAGAACATCTGTTAACCATCACTGTTCATGAATATTAATTCACTCTCCCCCCAAGTAATTTTACTTTCTAGAAAAGCAGGTAGAGACAAAAATTAACCATGATTCTCAAAAATGAGTAAAGAAAAAATAATAATTACATTATACTGATTAGAAAAGGGATGCGGATATGAACTAAGAGCCCCAACAGCTGTTTTTATATATTATATTATATGCATTGTATATAATACACAATAGATTGTAAAATTCAGTTTTGCAAACTTTACCCTTAACACCCATGAATCTTCAGAATGGGACTATACTAAAGAGCAATGGTATCTACCAGTCAGAAATTTTTAGTTACATTTTATTTTGGTATCAGCTGATTATCAGGCTTTAGTCTTTATTTCCTGAATATAGTTAAAATTGGAAAGCAAAATTTTATCTCACTATGAAGAATAATTAATAAATATGGCAAAATAATGACATTGGCTTAAGGATAGTCAAAGTTGGTTTAAAATAACCATGATCTATGTAATGGAGGAGAAACAATATGCATTTGAGGAAAATAAATATTGCAATCTCATAACACTTACCAACATGTGAAGGCCAAACTGTTATGTGAGGATGGGAATGATACCAGCCCACAACTCTCATGGGACGACCCGTTAGTTCAGCCAATCTGTATGTTTGTCAAGGGAGGTATTTTTCAAAATGTGAAGAAAATTCTGATGTTTACAATAAAGGTTCAAAATACATATTGAAGTATGATTAGAATAATTAACAATGAAATAAGACTGATGCTCAGAACTTTAGTCAGCTTTTTCTTTAAATATAATTCGATGGAGCCAGAGAGGTAGCTCAGCAGTTAAGAATACTGGCTGCTCTTGCAGAGGACCCAGGTTGGATTCCCAACACCCACATGGCAGCTGACAACCATCCATAATTCCAGTTCCAGGGGATCTGACACCCTCTTTTAACCTCTTCAGGCATTGCATGACATGGGTGCACCTACCTACATGCAAGCATTACACTCATACACATAAAATAAAAAAAAAATAGATAAAACATTTTAAATATAACTCGTTTCTACTACTGTATATATTTACATCTTCTTACTCCAATTGTGCAAATGTTTGATCACTCAAATCCTTACTATTGTTATCTGCAAAGAAGCTTCAGAAGTCACTTATATTTTCAACTTGACAATCTTGTCTTCTCTGTCTAGTTACAGTTTACTCCTGGTTTGGGAAAAGAAATACAAGAAATAAAAGACTGTGTGTGCGTGCGTGCGTGCGTGCGTGTGTGTGTGTGTGTGTGTACATGCACGCTCTGCAGGATAGATCCCAGGCATTAGGCATACTAGGCAAATGATCTACCTCTGAGCTATACTTCAAGCCACAGGAATGTTTCTATTCATTCATGTCTCTCTGGCAGACTGTCAATGTTAACAATAGCAAATATAGTGGCTGCAGACAACATGAACAAAGGTCTCCCAGTTTACTCTTCTCTGTCCTGTAAAATGCTGGCTAGTTTTCCTACAAATTACCTGTATTAAAACACAATTGCCATTTTGATTCAGGTGAGATGGAATCTCAGTGTACGATTAATTTACATATTTCTGATGGCTAAATACAGGTTACTTTAAAAATACTTATTGGACAATCATGTTTCTTCTTTTGTGAACATGAATCATGCAAGGTAAGGAGGAGATTAAGACCAGATCAGTGATTGGCAGGGTTTATTAGGTGTGGCAGGAAGGAGAAACTGGGTGTGACTATGAAAAGGTAGTATGAGAAAACTGTTATACCTTTAAAGATTGTTGTGTGTGCGCATGCATGTGCGCACATATATGTGGGTGTGCATGCCAATGGTGCACATGTGAAAGTAAGAGGACAACTTTGTGGAGTTGATTCTTTCCTTCCACCTTTACATGAGTTCCAGGGATGGAATGCAGGTCACCAAGCTTACACGGCAAGTAACCTTGCATGACTCATGTTTTTTATAATGTAAAAGTTAGCTGGGAAAGGATGGCTCATACCTTTAATCCCAGCACTCAGGAGGCAGAGGCAGATGGATCTCTCTGAGAAGGAAGCCAGCCTGGTCTACATAGTGAGTTCCAGGCCAGCAGGGACTACAGGGAGACCCTGTCTCAAAAAAAAATCCAAAAGCTATACAGTCATGACTGATAAAACTGGCCATATGAAAATATAAAAACAACTACATTATGGAAAACTCACATCATACCCTGACTAAACAGAAGAAAAATCACTACCTTTTTTGAAAAAGTCCAATTTTCTTAATATATAAGATATATTATTGAAAAAATTATCAAAGGAAAATAAAAGGAAATAATAATCTTAAAATTATCACTGACTTAAAAACAAAAACCTAAAATTTACTCATATACATATACAAATTAAAATTGAAAGAAATAAGACTATTTCATTTTTTATTTTTGCAAGTCTACCTATATACCCCAGCCTGGCCTCAAACATATGATCCTGTTGTCTCTACCTTGTAAATACTGGGATTACAGGCATGTGCTATCACACCCTGCTTGACATAATTTCCTTCCTCCTTTCCTTTCCTTTCCTTTCCTTTCCTTTCCTTTCCTTTCCTTCCCCTTCCTCTCTCTCTCTCTCTCTCTCTCTCTCTCTCTCTCTCTCTCTCTCTCTCTCTCTCGTTGCTAGCCAGATTAGCAACATTGAAAAATTTTGGTAACACAGACAAATCATGTAGCTGAGACATCATATCTGGGGCAATGTCATAACACCCAGGCCTCAGCTTCACATAGGGATGGAGACTTGTGGTAGCTGTGGAAGCTGCCAGGCAGTTGGAACGGCAGTTTCTTCATAAAATAATTGATTCCTTATGGCCCAGCCTATGTTCTCTATCTACAAAGATAATCACACTATTTGGGATTCAATAGAATGTCTGAATATTTTAGAAGATGGTAGCAAAATTTTCAAAGCTGTGACTACTAAAATTCATCTGATGAAGAGGTAGCTCAGCATTTCAATCAGGTAAATTTACTTATTCTTAAATTTACTTCATCAGTAAGTAACCATGAAGTGCTTGAAAAACAGGGAAGATAAAATCAAGTAGGCCATGTTAGGAGAAACTGTTGATAATTCTTCCAGACAAATATAGATTTTGAAAGAGTTAAAGCTTGCATTTTCTAGTGACAAGATTGCTACATTAGGGGCCAGAGAGATGGCACAGGAGTCAAGAGCACTTGCTGCTTTAGCAGAAGACCCAACCAAGTTCATTCCCCAGCACCCACATTAAGTGGTTCACAACCACCTGTAACTCCAGCACCAAGGGATCTGACAGACACCCTTTGTGGCTTCTGACGGCAGCTGCACACATGCAGCATGCATGCACAAGCGCACACACACGTGCACACACAAGTAAAAACAAATCTTAAAAAAGAAAACAAATGACAAGGGCTGGAGAGGATGTGGGGGAAAAGGAACTATTAATAGAAGTGTAAACCGTTTCATCACAATGGAAATCAGTATGGAAGCTCCTTAAAAAGTTAAAAATATAACTACCACGTGACCCAACTATACCACTCCTCAGCATATACCCTAAAGGACTCTATATCCTATTACAGAGATATTTGCTCATCATTGTTCACTGCTGCTCTATTCACAAAAACTAGGAAACAGAAGCAGCTTAGATGTCCATCAACTGATAAACATAATAAAACTGTGGTACATCTGCACAATGGAATATTATTCAGCTATTAAGAAAAATAAAGATATGATGTTCACAGATAAATGATTAAAACTTGGGAAAAAACTGTACTGAATAAGGTAACTCAGGCCTGGAAAGACAACCATCATGTTCTTTTTCATATGCAAATCCTGGCTTATAATTTTTATATATGTGTATTTATGTGGAATGAACGTGTGTAGATGAAAGGAAGCCAGAAAGGAGCCTATGAGAGGGGGAAGGGAAGGTAATAGAACACATGTGAAAGTGGAAAAGGAAATATTGGGGAAGGGTTATAGTGGGGATGGGCAACAGGAAGATTGTGGAAGTGAGAGGTTGGAAGGAGGGGTCAACTGAAACTAAGTATGTAGGAAAACATGATAAGGAAACTTGCTGTGTTGTAATTTTTCAAAAAAGGTGGAAGGCACCTGAGAAACAATACCCTACATTGTCCTTTGACTTCCACATGCACCCACAGACATGTGCACCTGCATACACACACACACACACAGAGAGGGAGAGAGAGAGAGAGAGAGAGAGAGAGAGAGAGAGAGAGAGAGAAATTTTGATTAACCAAACAATTAGACCTAAAGGGCAAATATGAAAAGTGGAGAACATTCACCAGGAAGAAAATTTGGGAAGCCACCTGAAGTCAGATGGCTACAGCATTTATAGCAGTGTGACCTGGAAGCCCCAGAGTACACAAAGTTTCTTATGTATTAGAAAGGATATTTCTGCCTCTGTTGAGGCTGCAGAAAGCTGCTCTGGAGAAATTTCTACTCGGTCCTTTCTCTTGTCAGAACGTCTCAAGATGATGACAGAATGAATGTGGACAATTCTGATGGTATCAACCTAAAGAAAAAGCCACAGATATGGTTACTTCTGTCTCTGGTCAACAACACTTCTCTCTCCAATCTGTCAGTTATAGGATTGTATTTTATTACAGTAGCAAGTTAAGGATTTTAGAAAATTGATAGTTTTGTATGAATGATGAAACGTTTTAACTTTATTTTGCCTTTTTGAGACAAGGTCTCATGTGGTCTAGAAGTCAGCTTTAAACTTGCTATGTAGTTGAAGCTAGCCTTGAACTCCTGATCCTCCTGCTTCCATCTCCCAAGTGCCGGAATTACAATCACGTATTACTATGCTTAGCTAATAAATGGTTTAAATGCAACATCTGTCATTCAAGATATATATA